TGTTAGGTGTTAGTGTCTTAAGAAGCTCCTTCCCTTGGACTATTTTCCTGGCAACCAACCCTTGTCCTGATTTGTAACAGCCTAGATTAGTTTTTCTCTTTTGTATTTCATATAAATAGAATCGTTCAGCATGTACTCTTTTGTTTTAAGCTTCTTTTGTAAAACAATTTGTGAGACATATTGTTGGGTATACTTTATTTATTTTCATTGCACTATTGTAATTTCTAAAATGCTTTTTAAAATGAAATGTTTAAAATCTACAAGCAAAATGTACATCTGCTCAGGTTTACTGAATCTTAATATTTTCTTGTCCCCATTTCCCTCACGATGTAACATGCCAAAATGTAGCTGACACCCTTCTTTGAGCTCTCCCAGAGTCCCATTTTCTCCCCTTTCCTCCTAAGCTAGCCATTGTCTTTCCTCATAATGATTTTATATTTTTACTGTGTATATATCTCCAGAGAAGCATCTATCTCCATTATATGTATAATATTTTCTGTTTTTAAGCTTGATAAGACTGGTATCATACTATATATTTTGTTGTGTATATGTTCTCTTTTCTTTTTGAAACACCTCAAGTTTGTTAATTTATTAGTATAATATCGATAGTATATATCTGATTCTTAGCCAGAATGTGAAGCTGGAAGGTTGCTCTCTTATACTGGAAAATCAACTGCATAATATGTTATAGTATGTGCGAATGTTTACATTGAAGAACTTTGCAAAAGCTTAATCAAACCTGCTTTCAGTTTATTAAATAATTTCTCAGGAATATCTTTGTGTGAGGTACAGCAACCTCACGACTAAGTCACAGACCTTTTCAGAATTAATTCTTATAAAGGCAGTTTTGATTACGTTGATCCAAGTTTTGTGGGGGGGTAGGAGGATAGCAGGATGAGTAAAGGTAAAGTTTTATTTTTAGTCTCCCTAAATGTTCTGTTTCACTTGATTTAAGAGGGCTTGGGAGTACCCAAGAATTATCTTCCAGAGAATTTCTGTCATACGAATAGTGCTCTGAAAGTTTGAATAGTCATGAGGAGTGGGTCTTTCATTATCGGCCCATAATTGCAGAATTGCTTTCTCTGATACAATCTTTACATCTCCTGGTAAAGGGAAAGAAGTGGTATGACAAAGAGTTTACCATTTGGTGAGAGAGGGGGCTGTCTTGTATGTTGTAGTGAAATTCCCCAAGTGCGGTTTTGTGCTATCTTTCCTAAGGTCTTCCATGAATCCTACAGGAGTGCAGACTTTCTTGATCGCAGTTGGGATTTTCAGTTTTCTCAGTAGTTCAACTTGTACTTGAGTCACATATGTAAGTTAGACATTCCTCTCTTCAGCACCCAGTATAGGTTTTACATATCATCACTTGAAATGCTTAGTCTTTGGAGAGCTCTGCTTTGCAGATTGTCTTCCTGAGATGGATGCTTTTTTTTTTTTTTTTTTTTTTTTTTGGCTTTTTTTGTGGCTCTATTCTGAGATTGTTACATTCTTTCATCATCAGTTCTAGTTCTTGTTCCAGGCTTCATCTTCAGGTCACAACTCCACTTTTCCACCTCCCAGTTTGATGAAGGCGGAATAAATTCCTTATACCTGCTGAGTTTCCGCCTCTGTTCTTAGCCGAAGCAGTTCTGCTTCTTTAGACTGCAGCTGTTCATTCAATACTTTAAGAGATTCAGAGTTGTCTTGTTCATTTTATCCTATTTACTCTTTGAATTATTAACACAAACCTCTCGATATGCATGCTAGGCTTATGTACTTGTTCTGGTCCCACAGAACTAGTTTCTTCATCTAACAGAGCGCCTGGAAGCCCAACGCAGGCTGCGTAGTTCCAAACGGGTCGCCAGGGCTCAGCATGGGCTTCGGTTTCCTCGGAGACCCCGCCACATCCGCGGCTAAGGCCGGCTCTCCGGGCACACCGCGGGGGGTTCCCGGTGCTCTGGCCTCGGCTGCGCCAGGACCCGCCCGTATAGCGGGGCCACCCGAAGGATGGGCAGGAGGGGCTGAGGCGCCGCCGAGAGCAGACCCATAACCCAGCAACGCGAGCTCGGCCTCACGGGCTGTCCCAGCTGGAAGACGGCCACCTGTATATGTTCTTATGTATCAGTCATTCAATATGTTTTCAAGATATATGCATTTCGTCACATGTAGATTTAACATTCTTATGCGGTGGTTATAGTGTGCGATCTTTTGTTCCTTCTTCTACATAAGGACATTTATGTTTTCTTCCAAAACTTTTGGTATTCCCATGTCAGTCTTCTTCTAAGGTAGTGGTACTCAGATGTGAGTGTTGGTAACATTCAATTTTCACAATGCCAAGCATTTTGAGCGTGAAGGTCAAATATGCTGCCTATCATATGATGAATAAATTCCAAATATATGCCAGTAAAACATGTGGAACTAAGCCCTGGCTGGTATGGCTCTGTTGGTTGGGTGGATCCATTCCAGGTCATGACATATGCCTGGGTTGCAGGCTCAATCCCCGATTGGGGGTGTGCAGGAGGCAGCCACTCCCACATCGATGTTTTTATCTCCTCCCTTCCTTTCTCTCTCTTTAAAAAAAAAAAAAAAATATATATATATATATATATATATATATATTTTGATTTTTTTTTTTTTTTTTTTTTTTTTTTTTTTTTTTTTACAGAGAGGAAGAGAGAGGGGGATAGAGAGCTAGAAACATCGATGAGAGAGAAACATCGACCAGTCACCTCTTGCACACACTCTACTGGGGATGTGCCTGCAACCAATGTACATGCCCTTGATCAGAATCAAACCTGGAACCTTTCAGTCCCCAGGCCGATGCTCTATCCACTGAGCCAAACCGGTTTTGGCTGCATATTAAGCTTTTATTATCCTATGCAAATCGACCGAATGGCAGAACGACCAGTGGAACAACTAGTCGTTATGATACACACTGCCACCAGGGGGCAGATGCTCAATGCAAGAGCTGCCCTCAGGCCTCATACCAGTCAAGATGGATGCCAGTGAAAGGCACCCTGATCACCCTGCTGGTCGCCCCAGGGAGGGAGGTGACTGGTGGTGGGTGGGGCTGATTGGGGAGGGGGTGAAGGGTGGGGTCAGTGAGCGGTTGATACCAAGCCAGCCAAGGTGGGTGCCAGCAGCCCCCCACCCCCATCACTACACCCGTCACCCCACATATTGGCCCTGATGGATGGCCAGGCCTAGGGACCTTTCCTTTGCAGAAATTTCATGCACCAGGCCTCTAGTATAGGATAAGTCACTAAGTTGATAAGTAATCATTAATTTTATATGCCTAACAATGTAGCATCATAATAAAAATAGAAATAGAGAATTGACAGAATTAAGATATATTTATAGATCTATAGTCATTGAGTTAGTTTTAAGTGATAATTAGAATATTTGAACTGTACATTTAAAAACATGAGCTAATGGTGTATGTCTAGAATTCTCTAGCAAATGTTTATTTACAAAACATGGATCTTTCACAAAAATTGACTTTATACTTCTTTACAGATAACCTTTAAAAATTCCCTGAACATAATGTAATTTAGAACTCAGTAATAAACCAGTTATTTAAAATAGAAATTCTGTATAATGGAAATCCTAAGACATGTACTTTGACTTGAAGAGGACCTCATGAAAAAGAATTTAGAACAGATCAATATTGGAAATACCACATAGCTAAACTTGTGAAAAAGTAACAAAGCAATATTTAGTTACTTACCCTTAGTTATAATTTAATTTTGTTCTATATATCTTTGCCCAAGATCACATGACTAGGAAGCAGTGAATCTGGCATTTGAATTCAGGTTTCTTTCTTTCAGTGTCTTGCTCTTAGTTGAGATTCCAAATATAAATAATTTTTGTATTTTCTATGAAATTTTGTTCCTCTATGATGTATTTTTTGCTTAATAATGTGTGGGTTTGTGCCTCTGTGAAATTCCTTATGCATTCCAAGTCTTAGGATATTTTCCAAATAATATTCAGAGATAGTGAAATGATTTGTATTCATATTCACGCAAGAACCTGTTTTATTTTAAGTATCCATTGAACACACCTTTTTTCTGTTTAAAATATGTTTCATCACTAAAATGATTGAATAATACATGCAAATGTGTTACCTTAATTTCTATAGCATTTTAAAAAATATATATTTTATTGATATTTTACAGAGAGGAAGGGAGAGAGAGAGAGAGAGCTAGAAACGTTGGTGAGAGAGAAACATTGACCAGCTGCCTCCTGCACAACCCCCACCGGGGATGTGCCCGCAACCAATGTACATGCCCTTGACCGGAATCGAACCTGGGACCTTTCAGTCCACAGACCGATGCTCTACCACTGAGCCAAACCGGTTTCGGCTCTATAGCATTTTGTGAAGGCTTAATGAACCCAAAATATTTTATCTGTTATTATTGGGAAGGACCATGTTAAGTTATTAAAAGGTGCTTATAAATCTGCAGGGAAGGGAGATTCTAAATTAACTGTTAGTTTGTCATGTTTCAATTTCACAGGAGATTCAAGTTTACTCATAGTTTAATTACATGATTCTAGCGATCCTAAGAAAGGTTTAACAATTTGATTCTGCACTTTTCTTCAATATGACAAAAGATTAAACAAATATTTGTCAAGGAAGGAACAAATACGCCTTGTAAGATAAACCTGCACTTATAATCTGTATAACATAAAAGTTGCAGTTTGCTGTTATGAACACTTTGGTGTTTAAAAAAGCCACATTCACCATTTTAGACATCATTCCCATTCAATCCATATGTCTACAGTCATTTTCAATATTTCTTTAACTGTCTCTATATGAATTTGCCTGATCCTACTTTTCCCACTCACAGACCATAAATTGGCACCATTCATTTTGTCAGTCATTTTTTAAAATTGTGCCTTTTTTTTTCCTTCTTCATGAAAAGTCTGTGTTATTCCATATCTTTCACACAAATTTCTTTACTAAAGTGACCCAAAATATATTTTTGGGATTGCTGTTGAAGTACTATCTTTGTATTCCAAAGCAGGCCCTTCTGAAACTGATGATGTTGATGACAAACTCCCCCTTTCGAAGTCTTTGCAAGGTATATATAACTTTTCACTTCCATTTTCCCACATACTGTTTTTATTTAATGTTTCTTTATATTGGACAGACTGTATTTTAGTATTTATATCTGTATTATTACTTTTCTAAATGGAAAAGGAAAAAATGTATTGGCCTTTTTTTTTTTTTTTTTGAAAAACATATAAATGAACTTCACAAGCAACAATTTTTCAAAACCAATTTTCCCTTTTGTGAATCTAGTAATGAATCTCGAAATGGGTACATGACACACTTTCATATTTAAGGTAAAGTACACATTTATACCTTATATCAGAATAGTCAGAAGTAAGGTTTTTATTGTATAGTTAGTAATGTAAATATCGATAAGGTCATGTTGATACTTAGCTCTGAGAATTTTTGTATAGTGTTCCCTGACTAGATGATCATAGGCTATTTGTGATGGCTTTTTATACTACTATCTATTCTGGCTTTGAGCACATAAGATTTACTTTCCTTAGCTTTATTTTTAATGTAAATATAATTGCTTATTTCAGATTTAAAAAGAACAGAAGGACCCAAAGAATCATTGTTTATATGTAACATTGTGAAGGTGGAACAATCACCTTAAGTGTTCTTATTTTTTACCTAAGCTTTTCTTTTTTAAGTGCTGGTTTCTTATCCATTACCTTTCATTACTTTGACCTCACTCACATCTTTGTTTTCTTCAACCTTGGAGTCAGAGAATCTAATGCTTCATAAATCCAAATGTTGACATCTTAAAAAAAGAGGGAAGGGACTGTGTGTTGAGAAAGTATATTGAAAAAGTTTATTAAAGAATAATTTATGGCTTTAGATTTATAGATTTATCTAGTCTTTTGAGTTCAGGTGAGTTTTCATAATATGAAGTGGAAAAGAATCCCAAGATAATTATGGCATTTTAAATTCAAAAGTACTAGACACTGAGTGAGAGTTTTTGAAACTGTAATCTATGCTTTTTAAAAATCAAGATAAAATATATATCAAACTATGTCTCAGTGTTACATATTTAGTTTTATGTATAGTTTCTGAAATTAGTTATTAGTGGATGATAAAATAAACTCATTTTTTTGTTTCCCTTTCCCCCATGGGATTTACTCATAGGTAATATATTTATACACAAAGGCAGTGACTTTCAACCTTTTCTATGTTAGTAGCTCAGACATTTTTAGGACAGAGGATGAATATTTGGGGGCAGTTTGGGTGCTTAATCCTTAATCCTAAGTGGCTCTCTAATATTTTAGTGGACTATTTTCCTATTTGTGAGTAAAACTACTCTATTAGGATGAGCCCGTTTACCTTGTGACTGCCTAACTTGATACAATGCTTTATGTTCCAGTTTTTAGAAGCAGGCAGAGTATATTACCTGAATTAAAATGCTTTTGAGACTAAGGTAGTATCTTAAATTTTAACTTAAAAATGTCCTTTAAATACAAGTTTGACTAAATAATGAGGATTGACTTTCCATAGCTTCCACCATAGTAAAAATGGAAAGCAGGAAACATTTCACAGCAAAACCTGAACTTGTTTATATTTAATCATCTATGAGCAAAGAAAGACTTTACTCTGATTTGTGTGTTTTTGTGTGTGTGTGTCATTGGCTGATGAGCATGGTACTTTGAAACATAATTGTTCTATTTCTCAAATTCTAACATCTATTAGTAATTATATTGCATAGTTATAATAACTAACTATAAATCCCAAAACCTACTTAGGTTGACACTATACATTTTACATTTTAAAATAATTTTTTTAGTTTTTAAGTGAAGTGTTAAATGTTATCTGAATCAGATCACATTGTTTGAAATAACAACTTAGGAGTTAAAGAATTAGTTTGTATATGTTGTGTTATATGTTGTAAATTTTTTGCACTGTAGTTTCTCTTCTTTCTATGTCAGTTTTTATTGTTTTATTATATGTGGTTCATTTTCATTTTAGGAAGCCATCATTCTTCAGAGGGAAATGAAGGAACAGAAGTGGAAGTACCAGCAGAAGGTTAGAAATAAAGGGATTTTAATTTTGCTGTATTTATCTTATGTTTGTTCTATATTATAGAGATAATATCTTTTTTTAAAAATATATTCTTATTGATTTCAGATAGGAAGGGAGAGGGAGAGATAGAAACATCAATGATGAGAGAGAATCATTGATCAGCTGCCTTCTACATGCCCCCTATTGGGAATTAAGTTTGTAACCCAGGCATGTGCCCTTGACCGGAATCTAACCCACGACCCTTAAGTCCACAGGCTGACGCTCTATCCACTGAGCCAACTCACCTAGGGCTAAAGATACTATCCTTAAAACCCCTTATTTGGAAAGAAAAAGATGATTATTTTGATATGCTTTCTTAGCCAACAGGTTTTTTTCTTAGACCTAAGATGTAATATACCTCTTTTATTTTACTGAATAATAAAGCATATGAGATGAAAACTTAGGTAAGTTAAACTTCGTGATGCAAAATTCTGACCTTTTTTTGTGTATTTTTTTTCTGGTCGTCTTGTGCCATATTAACATTTTTTTAAAGAAGGAAATATTTCAATATTTTAGAATTTAATTATTACTGGCTCTGTTCACATTTCCTTTTTAAACATACTAATTAATGATGCCACTAAAACAAATAAGTTTTTATTGATTTTAAAGATAGAGAAAGGGAAAGAAAGCGAAAGAAACATTCATGAGATGGAGAAACATTGATTAACTGCCTACTTCATGCTCCCTATTGGGCATCAAACCTGCAACCCTGGGAATTGACTTATCAGTGCATGGGACAATGCTCTACCAACTAAGCCACATTGGCCAGGGCTAATAGTGCCATTTTTAGAGTAGGGTAATACATTCTGTATAAGATTAATAAAAGAAAGATTTCCTCTGCTTAATTTTACACCCACATCTACTCCATGAACTACTTTTTCTCTTTATTAGCCATCCTTTGCTCTCAGGATTGAATGAATATTTAACTATGGTACAGATTTTTAAGTTACTGGAATCTTGAGTTAAACTGTTAGCATATAAAATGGCTTCCTATTTCTAAGTGGTTTATATAGTTTCAAAAAAGTTTTTGTAGATTGTTCCCAAGAAAAAGGACGGGTAATGTAACTGAGTCTTATTTTAGAATTATTATTTCTCTCATAAACTAGTTGTATTGTACTTCATTTTCTGGATAAAAATTGATTATATTTTGTAACTTTTTACTTTGTATATTTGCTTTTTCATTTAATTTTTAAAAATTAATACTCTGATATTTTACCCTGTCTGAGTGGAGGGAGTTCTTAAGGTCTCTCAAATGTTAGCTAATCTTTCTAAATTCAGTTTTAGAATTAGGATTTCTAAATGGAATACATTTCTTGCAAAAATATTAAGATGCTCATTTTAAACAGTATTTTAGTGGGTTTCTTTTTAAAAGATCTATTTATAGAAGATAGTGTGCATGAATTATTTTTTTTATGTTTTACTGTATGAAGGTAATTATGTGTCTTCTCTGTAACAAAATCTATTTTGAATAGGTAGTATTTACCACAAAATACCTATATATAAGATACATGGGGCAGGGTTCATCAGGCAGTATGAATTATTTCACAATTTACAATTCTGTCATTAGATACTAGGCTTTTCAAATACTTTATTTTTGAGGAGATTTTTATTGTATTACAATGTTAATAGAGTTGAATCAAACTTGGGTTCTGGTCTTTATTCTTTTACTAACCAATAAATATAATCTTTGGCAAATCAGTTAATCTCTCAACCTTTGCAAAATCAAAGAGAGTTGATAAAAATACTTTCTAGCTTCTAGCACTAACATTCTGATGTACATATATTTGTTTTGTTCAGTAACAACAAATATTAATAAAATACTCTATTTTAAAAAGTATCTTGCATATAAAATTAGGGCATATAGACCCAAATGTATTTTGTATAGTCATTTTCTTTGTCTGAAAGGCCCCACTGTGAAAAATTGTGGTTTTATTTAAATATATAAAATTTAAATTATATTAAGTTATATTTACACCTGCCTTGCTCTAAAGACATGTTTATATTTTCAGATTTCTGAAAGCAGAGGAGAAATAGTTGTTTTTTTTAAGCCTTTGTTTTTATTCTAGCATTTTCTAGTTACATCAGGAAAATATTGGTGACTTCATTATAATCTTACTCCTTAAAATGCAAGTTTTTTTGTGTCCATTAATGCAGTTAATTTGGTATTATGTAATAGTTTTCCAGAATTTTTCTGTTTTTTTTATCCCTGTTTATAATTAAAGGGATCATATATCTTAATAAATATGAGATGAATTAAAATGCCAGTAAAATTTTAAAGTAGGCTGCTTTTGGAGTATCAGATCAATAAAATGTTGGAACATATAAAAAGTGCTTTATAATGAATGTCATTTTAGAATTTTATTTTTTTCAAGATTCTACTCAACATGTCCCTTCAGAAACAAGTGAGGACCCTGAAGTTGAGGTGACTATTGAAGGTTAGTTATTGAAAAGCCTTGATTCCAAAAGTTTACTTCTGGTCATAAAAACACTTGTCTCATTCACATTTCTAAGTATGCATTTCATTCATTCTTAAAGGAAACTTGTGATAAAAATTGAAGCATATATGTGTATGTGTGACCAAAGCAGCCCACTTCCCAACAGTGCACCCAGTGCTTTGGGAGTTTCAGACAAGAAAAGTAAGCCATGAAAATGAGCGGTGGACCAGACTGTACTTCCTGTCATTGGGAATTGAGAATAAAAAATGAGAACTATGACCAGAGCAGATACACATGGAACCAGATTCTGTAATCTGTTATCAGACTGTTATAGCCAGATTTAATATCAGTAACACTGATATTTACTTGAGTAAAGTGGAGGAAGAGAGTGTTGATAGTTCAGTCAGTTTTTAAAGCAAGTTTTCCCCCTAAAATACTATTGGAGGCTAACATATAACCTGTTCTTAAAAACTTTTTGAATCAGTAGCTATAATATAGTCTAAACTAATCTCTTTAGCTCAGGTTGCTTTAAACCTAGTTTTTCTTCTTCATAATGCATGAAGGCAGATGAGCCAGTTTGTCCTGAATTATTTAAAAATTCAGCTAATAGAATAATTAACAGTATCATCTTATATAATAAAGAGCTAAATGCAAGTGGTCCTCACACTATCACGACTTAATGGCTCAGACACTCAACACTAGGGAGAGAGGAATGGGGACCAGCCAGGCCATGGCCCAGGAAGGGACAAGCTGCCTGCCAGCAGTCCAGGGCACCAGCGGCTGTGCCTGCGCCTGCAGCCCTGGAGAGGGACAAGCCACATGTCCTGCGGTCCCAGGCGCTAGCTCCTGCGGCCCGGGCAAAACCACCCACCCATGGTCCTCTGAGGCTACTGCCAGCCCAGGCAAAGCTGACCCTGGTCCTGGGTACCTGCAGCCAGCCAGAGGGGGAAAGCCCAGGCCCGGGTGCCTGTGACCAGCTGGAGGAGGGAATCCTGGGTCCCAGGTTTGGGGCAAGGCAGAAGCAGTTAGGGGCAGTCAGGCCCGCAGGGGAACAATTGGGGCGATCAGGCAGGCAGACAGGCAGGCAGATGAGCGGTTAGGAGCCAGCGGTCCCAGATTGTGAGATGCATCTCCCGAGGGGTCCTGGGTTGAAGATGCAGGCTGGGCTGAGAGAACACTCCCCCCGTCCCCCCCTGCTCCCCCCACACATACACACAAAGTTTGTGCACTGGACCTCTAGTATTTCATAATTATTAAGTGCATATTGACTTTTTCCCTTTTAAAGTGCCTCGCACTATTCTATAAATTTTCCCCCCTCAAAGTAAATTCTTCTTAAGGAAAAATATTGAAACAATACAACAATTTAAACTATATTAAGTTATATTTACACCTGCCTTACTCTAAAGTCCCTGTATTCACTTTGTGTATTAATCTAAAAATAATTTGATGTATGTATATACATGTATATGAGTGTGTGTGTATATACATACATATAGTTTTATAAAAATGATGTGCAATATTATAATGAACATTTAAAATACACATATATCACATTTCTCATAGTTTTTTTTTTTTCCATAATACATCTTGGTACATCTTTTTTTTTTTTTTGAAATGCTGCATAACCTTCCTTGGTTTTATTTCTCTCTCTCTAACAATCTGTCTTCTGCTGTCACTTGGTTATGGTGTTTGGCTGCTTACAACTAACTATTCAAAATGTGTGTCTTCATTGCTTCTAAAATATAAGTTGATTGGTAGCTTTCACATAACATGAGAATTTTTCTCATCTTTCATGTCTCAAAATAATAAATATCTATTTTTATCATTACTATAATTTTACTAATCTAAAAACAATTTTGAATTGTTTCTAGTTTAGCATTAAATGATTGATTTAATTGTGTGTGTTTTTAGTTATAAACCTCATTAATTATCAAAGAAGAAAATCTTAAGAGGTTATAAATATTATAAATACTGAACTTTGTTCCTTCTATACAGATAGAAAAAAATAGATTACTATTTAAATTTATTAGGACAAAACTAAGTAGAAAAATAACTAGGTTATTTTTTTTTTTTTTTTTTTTTTTTTTTTTTTTTTTTTTCCTTTATTTTCTTTTTTTTTTTTTTTTTTTTTTTTTAAATCAATCTTTATTGTTCATATTATTACAAAGGTTCCTCATTTCTTCCCCCCTCCACCAGGTTCCCACCCCACCCTCCGTCCCCCCCCCATCCCCCATTGTCCTCATCCATAGGTGCAGTTTATGTTCAGTCTCTTCTTCCCTCAATTTCCCCAATAGTAAATCCCTTTTCAGATAGTAAATCAGTTACTTAGCATTTTCTCATATCAATAATACCTCCACATGCCCAATGATACACTTCACACAAAAGACATTTCCCACTAGGTCAACCAGCCTCATCCAGGCCCCACCCAAGGCACTCACAGATCAACACCCCAGTCCTAAACTAACTCAACACATCCAGATCTAAGCCTTCATCACTTGATTCAGCAGACCCTCAAGTTCCCACGAAAGTTTCCAGCCATGTCTGAGAAGCAGCTGTGGGGCAGGGGCAGGCAAGGAGCGAGCTGTTCTGGGCCTGGCTGCTCAGGGCTTGGCCTCTGTTGCTCTGGTTCATTCCACAACCAGCTGCTCCGGGTCTGGTCACTGCCGCTCCCGACCTAGTTGCGCTGGACTTGGCTGCTGCTGCTCCGGGCCTGGCCGCTCCCAGCCTGGCAGCCGCTGCTCCAGGCCTGGCCGCACCAGCCCCGCCTGCTCCCCCGGGCCTGGCCGCTCCCAGCCTGGCAGCCGCTGCTCCGGGCCTGGCCGCACCAGCCCCGCCTGCTCCCCCGGGCCTGGCCGCTCCCAGCCTGGCAGCCGCTGCTCCGGGCCTGGCCGCACCAGCCCCGCCTGCTCCCCCGGGCCTGTCCGCTCCCAGCCTGGCAGCCGCTGCTCCGGGCCTGGCCGCACCAGCCCCGCCTGCTCCCCCGGGCCTGGCCGCTCCCAGCCTGGCAGCCGCTGCTCCGGGCCTGGCCGCACCAGCCCCGCCTGCTCCCCCGGGCCTGGCCGCTCCCAGCCTGGCAGCCGCTGCTCCGGGCCTGGCCGCACCAGCCCCGCCTGCTCCCCCGGGCCTGGCCGCTCCCAGCCTGGCAGCCGCTGCTCCGGGCCTGGCCGCACCCGACCCGCCTGCTCCCCCGGGCCTGGCCGCTCCCAGCCTGGCAGCCGCTGCTCCGGGCCTGGCCGCACCCGACCCGCCTGCTCCCCCGGGCCTGGCCGCTCCCAGCCTGGCAGCCGCTGCTCCGGGCCTGGCCGCACCAGCCCCGCCTGCTCCCCCGGGCCTGGCCGCTCCCAGCCTGGCAGCCGCTGCTCCGGGCCTGGCCGCACCAGCCCCGCCTGCTCCCCCGGGCCTGGCCGCTCCCAGCCTGGCAGCCGCTGCTCCGGGCCTGGCCGCACCAGCCCCGCCTGCTCCCCCGGGCCTGGCCGCTCCCAGCCTGGCAGCCGCTGCTCCGGGCCTGGCCGCACCAGCCCCGCCTGCTCCCCCGGGCCTGGCCGCTCCCAGCCTGGCAGCCGCTGCTCCGGGCCTGGCCGCACCAGCCCCGCCTGCTCCCCCGGGCCTGGCCGCTCCCAGCCTGGCAGCCGCTGCTCCGGGCCTGGCCGCACCAGCCCCGCCTGCTCCCCCGGGCCTGGCCGCTCCCAGCCTGGCAGCCGCTGCTCCGGGCCTGGCCGCACCAGCCCCGCCTGCTCCCCCGGGCCTGGCCGCTCCCAGCCTGGCAGCCGCTGCTCCGGGCCTGGCCGCACCAGCCCCGCCTGCTCCCCCGGGCCTGGCCGCTCCCAGCCTGGCAGCCGCTGCTCCGGGCCTGGCCGCACCAGCCCCGCCTGCTCCCCCGGGCCTGGCCGCTCCCAGCCTGGCAGCCGCTGCTCCGGGCCTGGCCGCACCAGCCCCGCCTGCTCCCCCGGGCCTGGCCGCTCCCAGCCTGGCAGCCGCTGCTCCGGGCCTGGCCGCACCAGCCCCGCCTGCTCCCCCGGGCCTGGCCGCTCCCAGCCTGGCAGCCGCTGCTCCGGGCCTGGCCGCACCAGCCCCGCCTGCTCCCCCGGGCCTGGCCGCTCCCAGCCTGGCAGCCGCTGCTCCGGGCCTGGCCGCACCAGCCCCGCCTGCTCCCCCGGGCCTGGCCGCTCCCAGCCTGGCAGCCGCTGCTCCGGGCCTGGCCGCACCAGCCCCGCCTGCTCCCCCGGGCCTGGCCGCTCCCAGCCTGGCAGCCGCTGCTCCGGGCCTGGCCGCACCAGCCCCGCCTGCTCCCCCGGGCCTGGCCGCTCCCAGCCTGGCAGCCGCTGCTCCGGGCCTGGCCGCACCAGCCCCGCCTGCTCCCCCGGGCCTGGCCGCTCCCAGCCTGGCAGCCGCTGCTCCGGGCCTGGCCGCACCAGCCCCGCCTGCTCCCCCGGGCCTGGCCGCTCCCAGCCTGGCAGCCGCTGCTCCGGGCCTGGCCGCACCAGCCCCGCCTGCTCCCCCGGGCCTGGCCGCTCCCAGCCTGGCAGCCGCTGCTCCGGGCCTGGCCGCACCAGCCCCGCCTGCTCCCCCGGGCCTGGCCGCTCCCAGCCTGGCAGCCGCTGCTCCGGGCCTGGCCGCACCAGCCCCGCCTGCTCCCCCGGGCCTGGCCGCTCCCAGCCTGGCAGCCGCTGCTCCGGGCCTGGCCGCACCAGCCCCGCCTGCTCCCCCGGGCCTGGCCGCTCCCAGCCTGGCAGCCGCTGCTCCGGGCCTGGCCGCACCCGACCCGCCTGCTCCCCCGGGCCTGGCCGCTCCCAGCCTGGCAGCCGCTGCTCCGGGCCTGGCCGCACCTGACCCGGCTGCTCTGGGCCCGGCTGCCCCGGGCCCGGCCGCTCCGAGCCTGGCCACTCCCGACCTGGATGCTCTGGGCTTGGCTACTGCTGTTCTGGGTCTGGCTGCTCCCACCCCAGCTGCTCTGGGCCCGGCTTCTTCGGGCCCGGCCACTCCGGGTCTGGGTGTTCCTG